TAAGTGTTGATCTTTGTATAAATTTTGATAAAGCTATTATTAGGAGCATTAATTTCAGTCTCTTAAAATGGTTAATGTGGGTGATACTTGAAATCTGATATGTTATGTTGAAATTTTGATACTTGAAACAATTATGAACTTGGATTCTGAAATTTTTGTTACGGATTTTGATTATTAACTTGTGTACCTATTGCTAATGGACGATTTCTTCCTTAAATGGATGATTTCTATTAATTTGTGCTGAAAATTTTTGGTTAATTTTTTGTTGATTAAAGAGTGATAAATTGTATGGTTGTTTCTTAAGTGTGCAGGAAGTAGAAGGTCTTTGGTTCACTAGTTGGACCATGGATTGAAAGAAGTATTTTTATTTGGCTATTGTATGATGCTTATGTTTCCATGGATTGAAAGAAGTGAATTTGGAAGAATTTATGTTTAATTTGGTTATATTGTATGATTTTTATGTTATAATGGATTGAAAGAAATGAATTTGAAAGAATTTATGTTTAATTTGGTTATATTGTATGTTCACTTGATTTATGCTAAATTTGGATTTTATATGGTGTTTATATATTTTTCTTATAATTATTTAAGAAATTAGGTTATTTTATAAACAGACACTTGAATTCAATAAAAAATAAAAACAGAAGGGTAAAATGGTCATTTTTATAATTTAGCACAACAATTCAGATGTCCCAATCAAACAACATGTTAAACATTCAGCTCTTAAAATTTTAGACCCTCTTAGAAATTCAGATCTCTTAAAAATTCAGATCCTACCAAACAGCCCTAAATGCAAGAAATAGCAATGTACTTTCATTTATTTTTATAGCATCAAACTTTCATTTCTAATTCTAACTTTTTGTTTGGTTTTTGTTCTTATTTAATCATTGTACTTTAAAAGTACAATGGTTTAATAGTAAAAAAATTAAAATTTAATAACTTATGAATTTTAAATGAAAGTATGACACTGGATTAGACAAACAAATGAAACTACATTGCTATATCTTGCCTTTAGCCCCTGGTTCGGCTAAATGCAAGAAATAGAAATGTACTTTCATTTGTTTGTATAATTATAGAATATAAATTTCAATTCTAATTTTAACTTTTTTTTTAAATATTGTTTTTTAAGAAAATATAATTACCGTTTCTTGATATCATAACAAAAAATAAAAAGGAACATTTACGAAAGAACAATAAACACGGAAAGGAAACGATTTGTCGAAAAGTAACTTGTGTTCCATGAAATATAACATGTTTCTGAATGAAAATTATTGTTGAAATAAAGTATTCGTACCCGTCGTTTAGCGCGGGTAAACGACTAGTACCTTAATATACATTTAGCCTCAAATGTTGAATTTTAAGAGATACGACCTTTAATACATTATATACAATAGCTTTATGCATGGAGAAAAATCAGACCGGTCGACCATTGAAAAGTCAAAAAAAAAAATGTAATACAACTTCTCCTATCGTCGGTATCCCCAAATTTTAGATGAAAGTTAAAAAAATGATTCAAAGCAAAAGAACCATAAATACAGAATAAAGGAGATTTGTTACTTCATCACTTCATATCTATCGGAACTAAGCTTATATATAAAAATCAACATCATCTCTCTGAACACCTCGACACAAACAATGCAATGCACCGCTCCTCACCCTTTCCATCTCCTTCATCAATCATCAGCTAACGTAACCACGACTACCACAACTCTTCTCCTTGATCATTCGCTTCCCAATCGTCGACGAACATCCCTACAACTGTATCTCTACTTTATTTTACATGTTGTTATGTTGATTCTACTATGCTTTCTCAACTGTGTTTTGTATGTTTTGTAATCAAAATCTAGGAAACCCTAGCCTCACCACAACTGAAACATGTTCCTGCAACGTCTATGGGTTACTTTGGTGATATTGGTAACTGGATTATACAGAAGTAGGTGAGAGAACTTTATATTGGGCGAAGAACGCGTCAAAAGAAAGAAAAATCTTGTATTTTTTCAACCGCACTCACAGTACACTTTGATTTCAGGTATCTTCTTCTTGCTTCTTTATTCTCGACCTGAGACTCAACTGTTATTTCATCTTCTGAAATCACACTGTGTACTATCTCAATCGTTCTCCTCCCATCCATCGCTCAGAACCCTAAACAGGGTCCGGATGAAGGCCATGAATGGAGTTTATTTTTTTTATCAGGACCAAGGCCAGAAATATTTGATCTATGTCAGGTTTCTTATTCACTTCCTCTTTTTCTCTCTAGAAATCGATTAATATTTGAATTTTGACATATTTTTGCTAAATTTTGATTTTTGGAAGGTAATATATATTTTGTGATTGCAGCTCTCATAATTTGGTCTTGCTCGAGTAGGTTCTCAAGGGGACCATAGTACTTATGTATCTATAGACTATAATGGTAAGTATTTTTCACAATGGTAGTTTTTTACAATCAAATTTTATATAATTACATTTTTTTGGAAAAATATATTTATTTGAAACAAAGACATTTGGTGCTTTCGATTTGGGGGATATGAGGATGACTTAGGGATTCACAATGTCATTAATACGAAACAAAGACACCATCTGGGTATCCTTGACACAAGGCTATATCCAACAATTTCTCCAACCATCTTCAATTTTGGTTTGGATCTTTTAAATTTGGGTTACAATATTGGATTATTCTTCAACTCAAAAGATTCAAAACCAGTTATTCTGTCAAATGTTGTTGAAGGGTAAAAAGGTCATTCACTAACCTTTTTGGTGATGGGTGTAGGATAGCTTTTTTGATTATCTTAGAGGAATTTATTGTTCTGATGTTTAAGAATATACCATTGCCGACGGATTTGTCATATTCCCTAAAGTACCCTTGATGTGGATTAAGTTTAATTTTCTAACTTGCATGTCATTTTTTGGAAACATCCAGACACAAAGTACTGCAGTGGCATTGGAAAAGTTAAACTTATTTTGAATTATAAATCTTTATCACATTTGATACCTGATTGTTTTGTTTACAAATGGCACAACACTCGATGGTATTGGTAAATTGACTTTATGTTTATGTATTTGAACCTTTAGCTCATTGGTGTTACCTAATTCTTTTTTTTTAGAACTCTACGTAATTGAAGGGTTTGAGTCTACAGATTGGCTAAAATGTGTATTATTCATCAAATGATATGGCTGGATGAAGGTTTTTGATTCATTGAATTAAGTTTCAAGACCTCCAAGCTAATCTTTATAATTGTTGTAATATAAAATAGCCTTTGATAAATTGTTATTACTCGAGAAAAGCTTTGAAAGTAACAATACTTTTCAAGTAATTAATGTGTTTGTCTATGTGTATAGGTGTATTTACGGTTATTTTTAATTCATTAAAAGTATGTTCCAATTCAATAAACAAAAGATCATAAAGTTACTATGATAATCATTAGCTTTGCTTGAATGGAACATAAGGATGGCTATTGTATCTGTGTGTATTATGTCTATTGTATATGTATTTAGTTTACTTTTAGCTTAAAAGGGTTGGATGTGTTTTAATCCCAACAGCCACCTTGCCAAAAGATCCCAATTTGCATGAAAAGAAGGAAAGCCAGAAAGATAAGGATCCTGGGACGCCAAAGATTTGAAAAAAAAATGAAAATTTGGAAAAAAGAAACTAAGAGGCTCGATCTCCCAACTATAGTAACGTCATTTGCATACAAACTAATTTTAGAGATTAAACAAATAGAAGCTATCAATCTTTACTATAATTGCTCATATCATAATTAAGGCTCTGTTTTGTGTGGTTGTACTGTGGTTATTTGGGCTATGTCATTATTTAAAGTTATCGACCTTAACTACCCAAAGAAAAGGAGCACACACGCAATTACACAGGCTGTGAGAAAGTATTAGCACCAAACAGCACCGAAACACAGAGCAAACTCAAACAAGTTACTTTTCTAGGATTTAATTTGAAGAAAACGGTATCATGTTTTATATATATATATATATATATATATATATATATATATATATATATATATATATATATATATATATATATATATATATATATATATATATATATATATATACACTCAAAACAAGTTACTTTTCTGCATAGTTAGAATCTTATGTATTCTAGGGTACCTTTAAATTAGATTAACCTCATCAACAATTGTCATGATGACTCTAGCTATATCCATAGCACGTCTGTTTATAGGACCTTAAAAAATAAATAATGCCACAACTTTCTTAATATTTGTATGTAATGCAAATCATTTGTAATTTGATTTATTCAACTTACTGTATATTTTGTTTACAGATCAGAGGAAAATAGTCATCTCCAGCGGTTGACTTTGGTTTGTTTTAAACTCAATTAAGCCATATAAATCAACTCTAACCACCTCTATACCAAATAATAAAACAAGACTAATGTCTAATGTACAACTTAAAGTTGGGACTTAAATTATTCCTTACTTATCACTTATCAGAGAGGAGATGTGGTACTAAAGATAAAGAAAAAGGAAAAGAATTATGCTATATATGCTTTTGTTTTGTGTGATTATTCCTTATCGTACATATTAAACTAAAAAAAGAACAAAACATGAAACCAAATCTTGAATAATCAGGACTTTGAGAAAACAATGTCCACATTACAGTATCATATGTATTTTTTATTAACCGATGTTTAAAGCATTCATAAAATTACTTCATAAATTATGTCTCTTGTTGATATAAAGTAATTAATGACCAGCAATTCCATATTCAAGGGACAAATAGGGAACTTTGTTGGAAAATTAAAATATTATGAGAAACCAAAGTTAAAAAAGTTCACTGATTTCTTCTTTGAATTAGGAAAAGTGATGACAAATTAAAAATCCAAAAGATAAACAAACGTACATAAAATAAAAAGGAATCCTGCTAAGTTTCGTGAATTTGGCACACATATATGCTCTTTCTTTGCTATAAATTAACAAGATAGGGTGTATAAAACATGATTATTGTAAAGAGAGAAGTATATAATTATAATGGAGTCAGTACTTGAAGTACCTGAACATAAGCATCCACTAAAACTCATTGATTTGCAGCTACAATATGAAGAAGAAGAAGAAGAAGAAGAAGAAGAAGAAGAAGAAGAAGAAGAAGAAGATGAGGATGGTTATCCCATTATGAAAGATGGCTTTCATGGCGTCACATGTAGGAGGTGTGAGGAAGAAATCCATGTGTACCACAGGTACTACTACACATGTTGTTCATCATCATGTGATGATAAGAAGGTCTTCTCACTTCACAAATTTTGTGCTGAGCTCTCCATAAGGTTAGACCACGCATCACACCCACAACATACTCTTTACCTGTATCCATATTCAAATTCATTTTCATATTTATATAGATATGCATATTATGATTTGATATGCAAACTTTGTAAGAGAGATCACGAACCTGGAGCACTGTTTTACCGATGTAATAAATGTTATTTCTGCATTGATCTCAAGTGTGCGTTAGAAGTAGGAAAAAATGTCATCCATCATCCTTGCCACCCTCACCTGCTAATGTCCGCTATCCTTAAGCCAATTTCATGCGAGTGTAGTGCTTGTGGGAAGGAACATAAAGGCATCTTCTATCAATGTACCATTTGTACTAACTTCGCCATACACAGTGAATGTGCTTTCCTACCAGAAAGTTTGCTAATCCAAGAGAGAACACATGATGCTTTTTATCATCCTCATCCACTCACCATTGCATATTCATTCCCACAGATAGATCAAAAAGCTAAACATGATCCTAGATGCAGAGTGTGTAGACATGATTTTGTAGGTATGGAGGATCATTGGATTTACAAATGCGATAAATGTCTGTACTATGTCCATCTGGATTGTGCAATTAGTTTGCCGCCTCCTGCTGGTAATTAAATCATTTTTACTTTTACAATCCCTTTTGCTTTGCTTTCCTTAATTAATTACATTTAATAATTAAATTGTTTTGAATGATATATATGCCTGCTAATTCCCAATTTATGATATCAGGCTTTGGCAAAACCATTAAAAATTATGAAGATGTTGACCATCCTGGTCTTCTCCATCTCCCATTCCCCGATGAAACATACAGCCTACCAAAACACTACTTGTTTTTCCAACAAACCACTACTCATCCTCCTCATCATCATCACCACCTAATACACGATAGTCATCAACACCCTCTGATTCTAGTTGATGGTGAGACACAAATTGATACCGAATGCCAAACCTCCTCAAAGGTTAATCTTTCATCATCAATGTGTCATGACCCGATGAAAAAGACCCAACTGTTATGCAATGGATGTCTCAGACCAATCATGTCCACCATGCCTTTTTACATTTGTGCTAATGCTAATGCTAATGATGATGAGATTCAGATTCAGGGGGTTTGCAATAACTTTGCTCTCCATGAGTGGTGCACTCGACTCCCCCCAAAAGTACAAAACCACCCTGGTCACCCACGACATACCCTCCATCTCATCTGCTCAAACATCCCTGGTTGCCTTTTCGGTTTGTTCAGGTGTAACTTTTGTGATCTACCTTGCAACGGATTTGCGTATGGTTGTTTCAAATGCGAATATCTTGTTGATGTTACTTGTGGGCTTATACCTAGAGAAATCACACACAAAGCTCACCCGAATCACCTTCTTTCAATAGTTCAAGTAAAAGATGGGTATACTTCTTGTCTTATGTGTCTCAAATATTCTACTCGAGGTCACCATTCATTCCATTGCAACATATGCAATATCTATATACATCCTCATTGTGCTTTGTTACTAGCCGAGACAATCAGGCACAAGTATGACAAGAACCATCCCATGAAGCTAAGTTACCTCCCAATTGAGAACCACAAGAGTGAATACGTTTGTGAAATTTGTGAGGAGGATCTGAATCCTCATGAATCTTTCTATCATTGTAAAGATTGTGTTCAGTCGATACATACTGCTTGTGCTCCGTTAATACTTCAGAGCGAGACACATACCTATATCAAGTATTGGAGAAGCGCTTATGAATTTGTGCATATAAAGTTTGGAGGCATTTATAAGACTGATAGTCACCCACACCCTCTCTCATTTGCTCAAGGTATTGTGTTGGATGGCTACTGTCATATATGTCATGAGCGATTACAGTATAAAATGATCTTTAAATGCCTCGAGTGTAAATTTGCATATGATCACATCTGCTGTGAGCGTTTTCTTTTTGGCAATAGTTTAGCTCATCCCAATCTGCTGTGAGCGTTTTCATTTTTGCAATCGTTTTGCTCTGCTCATTCCTTGTAAGTCAAAATATCTATTTATTAATAACTTAATCACACTAGTTTACCATTTATTTTCTTTATTGATTATTATCTTGAAATAGAAATCGAATACATTTGCAAATTGGATAATATTTTTTCTGTAATCTAAAATGTATACGATTTCGAATAATTAAGAGTAGTGCGTCTACTTTTGCATGTAGTCTTTTAAACTTTCTGATTTCTGAATATTTAGAGGGGTGTTAAAGATAATTTTGGGACCACTTCATAAATGTACATATATTGCTATCATTTAAATTCAATGTTATTATGGTAAAAAAATATAAGACTGTTGATGGGATGGTTTTATTAGAAATTTACTTATTTTTATAGGTTGACTTCTCGGTTTGACTTAAGATCATCTATATCCCTTCCAATTCTCACATTAGGTTATATCTCCATCTATATATACATTTGATGAGAAGAATATTCATAATAGAGAAAATACACACAAAAATTCGTGAGTCTCTATGTTGTTGTTGTTGTTGTTTTATTTTTATTTATTTTTTTAACCATATTATGTAGATAAAGTTGAAGGGTTTATCTATTTTAACCAAAAGTTTTGAACTAAGTTTTAATAAGGTTAATGAAATTTCTTGTTGATGAAAGGTGTATCTTTGTGTTTCTTATAACCTTATTATATATGGACAAAGTTGGATTTGTGTTTAAATCTCAGTTTAAATCTCGTTTAATGGTGTATGAAGTTGCTCTATTAAATTTGCTAGCTATTTTAATCTTCAACTCGTATGGTTAATTTTGGCATGTAATATTTAATTATTGCAAATTTAATCTTTTGAGTAAATATCGAAATTATGGTTGGAGTAAGTATTTAAAACTATTGGCAAAAGATCGATTGTGCAAATACTCGCAGTAATGCTAGCATAATATTTACATACGCTTTAAGTTTAATAATTTTGTGAATTTATCTTTTGGATTATGTATTTGTTTAAATTTTAATCAAAAAAAGCATAATCCATTTAAATATTAATTTGAGAGGATTGATCCTTATTTTGAAATTTTAAGGGCGTATAACTTCTGGATTGATGCTTTGTATTGAAAATTTAACGTTGTATAACTTTTGGATTGACCCAATGCATATTTAGTTGTGTTACATTGCGGTTTAAATTTTTTGTTAAGTTCACACATTTTAATGCACTTTTGGGATTTTATACATTACATCGATATATTTGCTACAAAAATCTTCATATTTTGATAATATTATCAGCCGATGGAGTGCAACGTTACCGAGTCATTCTGTCGGTTTTAAGAGCCTTCGGCAACCATTCTTGCTATTATGTAGTTATAGATTGATTTATAGATGTCACCGTGTTGGTTAGTGATCAATATAATATTGTTACCAAAACGACATTTGTTATTTTAATCAATTTAGTTGTAAATATTCACAGTTTTATACCAACATTGTTTATGTGAACTATGTTCAACTCAAAGGTAAACGTTGTTTTACAAACATTTCAGGCTTCCAATAAATTACATTTATGACATGTTTATTTATTTTCCTAGTAAATTAACTGACACAATATATCACTAAAGTGATCTCATTTGTGAAAATTAATTTACAAAGAACTTAAATATTTTGGTTTGTGTGTGATGTGACATGGAACTCCGACGACTCTTCTGGTCTTCTCTTCTCTTCATGACAGCTATGACGGAGATCTGGACATCATAGAGCAAGGTCGTTAGAGCCGCCCCATGGACTATGCCCCGGGAGCGGACTTCGACGATCAAGTTAGATCATGTGGTAGATCTGAGATGGTTCTCCTTAGCTGGAGAGGACCATCTTGGTGCTTGTGGTGGTGTATGGTGGCTGACGGCGGCGGGTGGCAGCTGAGCCATCCGACTGGAGTATAGTGTGGCGGCTGAGCCATGGGGGAAGTCTAGTGGCGGCTGAGCTACCTGGGGAAGAGTCCTCCTCTATGGAGGAGGCACTATTCTATTTATAGTGGACAACTAGGTCAAGGGGAATTAGGTCAGGCCTTGGGCCATCCCAATTCAGGCTCAACTAGCAAGGAGTTTGGCAAGGCCGCCCGGAGGCAAGGCTGGTGGGCGCGTACCAGGAAAAACCGGTAAGGGGGCGCTAGACATGGGAGCGCCAGGTCGGGCCGACAGGAGAGTCCCCAGCACGGCTGGCAAGGGAGCGTCGGGCAAGACTGGCAAGGGAACGACAGGCAGGGCTGGCAGGAGCGCGCCAGGCCAGGCTGGCGCTCTAGAGCAGTCTAGGCCATGCTAATGGATCATATATCATCAAGTCCCCCTAGTCTGATGTTATTGGTATGCGGCCAATGACATTGGACCGGACTTAGTCATATAAATTGTGTGTCGTCAAGTCCCCCTAGTCCGATCAGATCAGACTAGACAAAGCACCAACGCATCAAAGAGTAAAAGGAACAACCGAACCTCGCCCACGAGAGTCGTGGTGTTGTGCGGTGAGCCAATGTCACACCCATAAAATTTAAGTCAATTTAAAACTTTTTCAAACAGTTAAAACCGTTAAGTTATTACAATTTGTTTTCAAAATAGTTCCACATCAGAGTATCCCAAAAACAAAGTCATAAAAGGTGAGGAGTTGTACGATCACGCCTTTGCCTTGCTGTGATCCCCTGATGTACCTGAAACAATAAACTGAAACTGTAAGCCCGAGAGCTTAGTGAGTTCCCCCAAAATATCCATACCCATAATAATACACATAATCATAAACAACATACTATGGCTCCAGTCAACCATCGGGTTTGAATACTCCAGGCCCTCAACCATCCACTTGGAATGCCAACATACAATGGGTCCAATCATCCTTGGGATGGAATACCCCAGGCCCACAACCAACAGGTTGGAATGCCCACATACTACGAGTCCAATCATCCTCGGGATGGAATACTCACGGACCACAAACATCAGGTTGGAATGCCCACATACTACGAGTCCAATCATCCTCGAGATGGAATACTCACGGCCCACAACCAACAGGTTGGAATGCCCAGGTCTATTGGCTTTTGCACAAAGCAGATAAGCCTCAACCACCAATCAAACATGTGCACATATAACAAATAATCACATAACAGTCTATAGACAGATAAACCGACCTGACTGATCATAGCAGAATAATAACATCCTATCTACCAGGATACTGATCCAACAGATCATAATAGCATATACCATCCTATCTACCAGGATACCGATCTAACAGATCATACTAGCATAACATATCAGGATAGCAATCCAAAAGGGCCTTGGTGCCTTAGACCCTTGAGTATAGTGAGGAAAACTCACCTCACAAATGTCGCACTGAAGCGATAAGCTCAACTCCCGAATTACCGACACAAACTCCACCACTTATAGTTACCATAAAACCATTTCCATAAATTTCCAAATTACCAAAATACCCCCAGAGGTCAAACTGGTCAACCCTTGGTCAAAGTCAAAGTCAACAGTCAAGGTCATCAGTCCATGTTGACCCGACTCGCGAGTGCAGTTCACCGACTCGTCGAATCCTTCATGAACTCGAGAAGTTGTGAAATCCTTGGTTGACTCGTCGAGTTTCCCTGCAACTCGCCGAGTTCATGCGTGACCAAATGTCGGGAAAACCCTAGTTGACTCGCCGAGTCACCCCTCTGACTCGCCGAGTCCATGCAGAAGTCCTTGCACGACAATCTTCATCGGACTCGCCGAGTTGACCATGCAACTCGTCGAGTCCCTTCAGTCCATTATCCATTAAGATGCTTTTTAAGCCATTTTAAGGTTCCATACTGCAGATCCAGCTTCCCAAGGCATGTTTATCACGTAAAGTTGCAAACTTTACATGCATGCAAGGCTCGTAATGTTAAAACCAAGCTTGCAATGGAGTTTTACACTTAAGGAGAGGTTCATACTTGCTAAAGCTGAAAGCTTTATGGACTTAGAGACCAAAGAGAGTTCAGATCTGAAGTTACAACTTCAAATCTTAACTCATACCCAAGAATAGCTTCTTAATATGCTACAAAAGCCCTACTCTTTAACCAAATGAGATCTAGAATGTAATGAGGTCAAGGTAACGACTTGATACCTTCCAAAAGATGCTAACTGAGGTAGATTTCAGATCCCTACACGTTCCTTGCTTCTAGCTACTTGCTCTCCAAGCTCTTCTCACTAATGTCCACCTTCCAAAGCTTGAAACACACAAGAATGAAGCACACACACGGATTAGGGTTTGCTGGACTCTCAAGAGGCTGTAAGGGGGCTAAAGGAGGCTAATGATCCTTTAAATAGGGTGCAAAACTCCGGAAATTAGGGTTTCATCCTCCAGCTCCTACTCGTCGAATCCTATCTTGGACTCGGCGAGTAGGTCACTTAAACACGTGGCCCAATCCGCTTCTACTCGACGAGTCAGGGCATCCAACTAGTCGAGTAGACCTTGCAATTTATGAAAATTAAAGCCATAAAATTATTACCTAAGAGTCGGGGCGTTACAATTCTCCCCCACTTGAACTAGACTTCGTCCTTGAAGTCTGCTGCGGTGAACAACCCCGGATAGTGTTCCCACATTTCCGCCTCCGGCTCCCACGGCCACTCGGACCCTCTTCGGTGCTCCCAATGTACCTTTACCAAAGGTATCTCTTTGTTCCGTAAATCCTTCATCTTCCTCTCCAGAATGGCCACGGGCCTCTCAACATAATTCAGGCGCTCATCGACCTGAATGTCATCCAATGATACTACTGCCTCCTCATCCAGAATACACTTCCACAATTGCGAAACGTGAAAGGTGATGTGGATGCGACTGAGCTCCTCTGGTAGCTCTAACATGTATGCCACCTCGCCAACCTTGGCAACGATCCTGAACGTCCCAATTTATCGGGGACCCAATTTTCCCTCTTCCTGAAGCGAACCCTTTGTGCTGACAGGATAAAGCGTCCTTCAGCTCCCAAAATATCATACATAATCAACCAGCTA